GAAGGTAGGGTCTGTTGACTCTGGGCAAAGTACAATGGCTCTTGGCATTGGGGGTGGGGTGGGGGAGTGCTGGACAGCTACCCTTCCTGTACCTAAAATACCTGTGTGCAAAGTAACTGGTGCTTCCTGGAGGTGTGGGGCTTGGAAGCACTGCTGTTGGCCCTGCTAGTAGGTCCCCACCTAGTTACAGCCACGAGGCTAAGACTCAGCCCTGCTACTGTCTCACTGACAGGGACAGACACAGACACCCTGAGCCACACATTAACCAGCAGAGGACACAGAGGCTCCCACTTGCTGCTCTCTGGGCACCTGTCCCCTCCCCAGTGCCCACATCCACCCCTGCACAGACGCTGAACTAGATGCCCTGCCACCTGGCTCTGGCTGCCCAGCCTGGGAGGTCAGATGGCTGTGGAACTAACTTATCTCCTTGCTTAGATTAAATTCCAGACATCCCTATTTTTAGCAAAAACAAATTCCTTTTCTCTTGTCAAGTGGTGGAAATGTGCTGGGCTCTCATCTAGGAGACACAGTGTCCAGTCTGTGGCTGTCTGCGGGGTCGTGATGTGAGCAGAACATGCTGGCGGGAAGAGTCCCAGTGTGCAGTGGGTGGGCAGCCTGGGTGCCGATGCGGAGAGGCTCAGTGACAACTTCAGTGCTTACACAGGAGGGTGACAGGGCAGCGGAGGTCTGGCTAAGCCGGCCACAGCAGCAAAGGCCTGAAACGAGCTGGGGACTTCCCTCCTCTTCCTTTTCCCCGGTGCTTCTTCCCTAATATAGACACTGTCTGAGCAATCATCACAAAGAACATGTGAAAATATTCTGGTGAAAAGTCACATGTATCCCATTTTCCCCAGATGACAGAATCAGCATCAGCAGGTAGCAGCAACAGGGAGGCAGATGATGGCTGGGCGCTTGGGACTTTCTTGCAACTTAAATTCTGGGGGGAATGGAATAAGCTCCTGTTGCTGAGCTCACAAAAGCTGGGGTGCAATACTTGCTTGAAGCATACCACAGAGAAGATTTCTCTGCACTACACGGGAAGCTGGACTGGTCCCAAATCACTTGAGGTGGGGGGAAGCTTTAGAATACATGACTTCTGGGAACGGCAGAGATTCCGCGTCAGCAGGTGCAGAATGTAGCTCAGAAGAGAATTATCAGCTGCAAAGCTCTTAGAAGGAAACGGGGGGAAGCCACACACCTTGGAATCTGGCAGAAAGCTCTTATATGTGACACCTAAAGCACATACAACAAGACAAACTGGGCTGAATCAAAGCGAAAACCTTTGTGTATCAAAGGACAAAAAGGAGAGGCAACCCATAGAGCCGGAGAAAGTATCTGTAAACCACGTACCTGGGAAGGGATTTGTATTCAGAATATAAAAGAATTACAACCTAACAACAACAAAATCTTCGGCAAAAGTGGGTGAAGAAGTTGAACAGACGCTTCTCCGTGGCAAATGGACAATGACCACACACAGATGCTCACTGTCGCTAATTAAAAGGTAAACAGGTCCAGGCCATGACCCATGACCTGTGACCCGGGACAGCTAAGACACCTGTTTCCCACATCAGAGTTCCTGCAGTCAGTTCCAAGCTCCCAGCTTCCTGCCAGTGCAGACCAGAGAAGGCAACAGCGATGAACTGAATCGTTGGTTGCCTGCCACCCGCCAGGGAGACATGGCTCCTCTAGTCCAGCCTATGCTTGGCAGGCACTGGAGGAAGGAATCGGGTGGATGTAGGCTCTGTCTCCTCTGTACCTCTCAAATGCAGAAATAAATAAACATGAACAAAAAACACTAGGAGACCCACTTCAAATCTATCAACGTGGTCATTTATGCATTAAAAACAGAAGATGATAAACAGAGCAGTTAAAAGTCTCATGCACTGTTGATGGAAAAGGAAGTGTACAATGGTGTAGTTGCTGGTCCTCAAAAAATTACAGACAATGCACAGGGCTCAGCAACGGCATTTGGAAGCAGGGACTTCAACAGGCATTTGTATGAAGACACCTCAGAAGTTTTCGGAAAAATGGAAATTAAAGATATTTGCTCTTGTAAAAAAAAAAGTGTGAAACTCTGAGGTGGGTGTCACATCACAGCATGGGATGTCACATCCTTGGGATGCTAAATCAGAGTACCAGCTCAAGCCCCAGTTCCACCTGAGCAATAGCAGATGACGGTTCAAGTGCTTGGCACCTGCCACCCATGTGGGAGACCCAGATGGAATTTCCAGCTCCTGGCTTTGGCTTGGTCAGTTCTGCTGCACGCATTTGGAGAGTGAACTAGCAGATGGATGTACACACACTAGCTTTCAAATAAATAAGCAAATCTCTAAAGAAAAAAGTTAAACGGTTTTTGCATAGTATACCTGTGCCATGAACTTTCTGAAAACCTCCCCACCTGCACACACATTACAGAAACACTACAACAGCCAAGGAGTGCATACTCAAAGTGCAGTCTACAGCAACAATGGGATAGCACTCAATCTTAAGACAAAATCAGAGATCTTCCTGCCACTGAGTCACTCCTCAAATCCCCCAACAGTCAGGGCTGTGCCAGGCCAAAGCCAGGAACTCTACCCACGTCTTTCTGTGGGTCACAGGAATCCAACTCCCTGAGCCATCACTTGCTGCCTCCCAGGTTCACATCAGCCGGGATCAGGAGTGGGGCCAGCACTTGAACCCAAGTGTTCCCAGAGGGACACAGGCGATCCAGGTGACACCACAACCATCTGAAGCACAGTCCTCTTTCAGGGCTCTCTCAGACAACCTTTTCCATGGCTGGCTTGAGCCCGGCTTCACCTTTCTGCCCATGCTGAGAGTCCCTGGCAAGCAGACATGTGAGTGACAGTGAATGGGGTGTGTGGTCACGTGGGTGGGCAGGCCAGTGTTGAAGGCTGCCCCACAGTGAACAGCCACACTTATTTCATGAATAGGGCAACAGTTTTGGTATGGAATTCTTTATGTGACAACACCCAGATAAAAACCACAGCAGGGGTGGGGTGGGGGTTGTGGAAGAAGAGCAGAGGAGGCTGAGCAAGGTCTGGAATCCAGGGTGCCTTCTCCCTAATTTAAACACCAGAAACTCATTCTGGAGCAACTGTTTATGTCAGAAGTGACTGAGGTCTAGAAATGGATGCCCTCAATGCTGACTCCCCACATGAGCGTTGGGATGGCCGCGTTCATGGCGCTGGGAAGGGTATTCAAGACGGAGGAACCTGAAAACGCCCTGGCTCCCAGCTGGTGGGTGTGCAAGGTGTGACTCAGGCCAGCCCCAGGGAGCTGGCTTTGTTCTAACTGGTTCAGGAGCACACGCAGAGCAAAGAGGAAGAAGGGTGAAAGCGGCCTTCCTGCTCTCTCTCGGCAGCCCTGCACACCAGCACTGGTCACTTCTAGACCCATCCCTGCTGCCGACTGATTCTGAGTGGGTGGCATTCAGACTCATATCTACTCTCAGTCTGGTGCTCTAACAACAGCAACAAGAGCAAAATAATACCAGCCAACATCCAGAGGAACCCACTCAAGCCTCGCCACGGGTCTGATTAGGAGACAGACCGAGGAAAGCCAGGGCATTAACCAGCTTGCTCATGATCACATCACTAATTAGGGGCCAGAAGCCCAGACACGTTCCTTAGACTGGACTGCTAAGGCAGGCGCCTTCTCACCTCCCGTGGTCATTAAGAGTGCATGACAAAGACAGACAACATACAGGGCTGTCACTTCCATCAGTCTGGGTATCCCTAAGGGCAGGGGTCCTGTCGCTCCACTCAGTCTAGGGGCTCAGCAGAGTGGGGGGCCGTGGTGCCTCCCTTGTGGGCTTCTGGAGTTCCTAGAGGACAGGAACCCTGATCCTTTCCAGGCCTGAGTCCCCAACACCTTGGGTCTGCTACCCCTAGAAGGAGCTGGGAGCTGGGCGCTGGCTGCCTTCTCCGGGGCTCAGCGTGAGGTCGGGCTGGCCCTGGGGACCACGCAGGCAGTAAACAGCCCACTCGTGCGTCAGTTGTTTTGCTCCTGAGCAGCCTCAGCAGCTGGACAGGCCCTGACCAGATCCTGCCAAGTTCATCCCCAAGGGTGGAGTGGGGTGGGGACAGGGAAGGCCTAGAGCTGGGCCTGGGCTTTTTCCAAGGAGAAGCTGCTTCCGTCCCCTCGAGGGCTGAGACGACGTGGGGGAAGAGGCAGGGCTGGGCAGTCAGACACTAAACATGTTCACATTAGGACAGGAAGTCTCTGAGAGGTAGGCTACTTGTGTGGTCCCTGGTGCGGTGGGGTCACAACCAACCAGAAAGTGGCAGTCAGCTGAGACGCCTCAGAGAAGCTTCTAGACTTTGGTCTCAGAGCTTGGTGACTGTGACCAGGACCGCCTAAGCACCCAGTACTTTGTTCTTCTTATCCCCTCCCCTACTTCATTCCTTCCCAGGTAGTCTCCATGGCTGACCCTGTCAGCTAAAGCAGAAGACAAAAGTCAGGGAGGGAGTCCTCTGTAAGATGGAAAAGAGGGGTTTCCAGACCTGGGCAGGAATTAGGGAGTCATGATACGGGTAGAAGGTTAGCAGAGGAAGACAGCAGGGACCAAGAACTTTACCATGGGGTACGGCCGGGACCAAGGGGCACAGGAAGTAGAAATGTCCCTACCACTTCCTGCCTGACTCCACCTTCCCCCACCTGTCTCTCCCTCTTGGCAGCAGACAGAAGCAGGCAACACAGTTGTCCAGGGTCTATCCAGAGTTCACCCAAGACCTTGAAAACTACAGCAGTTTTCAGGCCTCTGGGCCAGTGTTTTGGGTGGGGACAGGGAGGAGAATGACAGTCTCGGGAGCCAACGAGAGGGAGGCACCCTCATTCACCCATTAGCTCCTCCGATGGAGGACCCACCCACCACACCTAGTTAAGACTAAACCACATCTGATTTCAGAGGCCGTCAAGAACTGGACACAATGGCCCTATTGCCCACATGTTGTCCACTCCAGCTCGGCCTTAGCCGTTCAAGGGACCCTCACACTCACCCGGTGGTGATGTCGTCATCCTCTGTCATGGTCTTGCCGATGAGGTCACTGTCACTCATGTAGCCAGACTTGAGGTCCACCTCATCCGAGTCGAGGGACTCAACCAGTTCCAGGCGGGAGATGTGGCTGAGCTTGCTGGGGCTACGCATGGGCATGGTGTGGGAGTAGTGTGCCCGCTCCCCGTGCATGTACCAGGCAGGCGGCCCCTCGGAGCGGGAGCTCCCACCCACCGAGGGTGCATCACCGGCCTGCAGCCGCGGGCTAGACTGGCCGTAGCGCCAGGACAGAGGTGAGGAGCGGTTGGAGAGACTGGACACACTGCGGGGGTTGGCGTCATCACTGTCGTAGCAGGTCATCTCCAGAGAGCTGCACAGAGAGAAGGGGGTTGCTGCCTGACCCCCAGAGGCAGCGATGGCCCGGCCCTCTCACTGTCTGCCCTTCCACCTGCTGCCTGTGACATCCCATCAGCATGCCCAAGGGAAATGTCTTCCCCAGTGTACTCCTGGGAGCCTAGCATGTGGAGTCTAGGTCTGAGCCCCTTCTTGCCATTTATTAGTCCATGAGCCCAGGGAGTCAGGAGCCTGGCAGAGCCTCTGGTTCCTCATCTACACTTGGGCAGCAGCATGAATCATGAGGATTTCATGTGCTCAGAACTAAGAAACCCAGGGCTCGGTAAACAGCAGGTACTCACAAAATGGGAGAGGGCGGGCCAGGGACCTCCTGCCGGAGCTTGGGCAGACAGCCCTGGTGGCTCCTTCAGTTCAAGGTGTGGCCATCACCTCTTTCTGTGTGAGTGCAGGGCTGGCTGACTCCCAAACACCACGTCCAACAAAGCCTGCAGTGGGTGCGGTGGATGGGGAAAGCTTTGGGGTCATGAAAGGCACGGCAGATGTTCCCAAAGACTGGTCCCAGGCACAGGTGTCAGGCAGCAGGGTAGTGGCAGAGCCTCCCTAGAGGCCAGAGGCAGCTGTTTCAGGACACAGGGATTCAGAGGAAGCGGGGCGTTGGGCCCTGAGGCTCAGGCCCTGGGATGGCTAGTAAAGGCAGCCAAGCGCAGGTGACGTCTGCTAGGGGAGACGGAGGTAGAGCCTTTCTCAGAAATGGCCATGGAGGTGCAGAGAGGCCAGCATGTGGCCGGGGGTGGCCTGGATGAGGGTCCAGACAGATCGGCAATTCCACCCAGCCAAATGCCACTGAGGTGAGGTCTCTGTGGCTTGCCCAACTACAGCCAGACAGGGTGAGTAAACGAAATGGAGTCTGGGGCAGCAAGGGGAACTTGGGGCCTGGCCCGGAGTGCAGGGAGCACGCCAAGCTTTGCTCCGTGGATCCGCCCATTTCTTAGTCACTTTAGGGTGGGAGTGAAAGCAGGACACGATTTGTAAGAAAGCATGCAGAGACACTGAGGGTGAGCTGGGATGCCGGAGCTGGCAGAGGATGTGGCCACCCCTGGCTCTGCCGGTTCCCCATGCACTACAGCACTGCACAGGGCCCTGGTGTGCAGGTGGCTCCAGCAGTGAAACTGCCAGAAACTACCATTGCCTGCACTGGGCCAGCATCAGGGAGTCCTAACCTCATCCATGGCATGCTTTCTTGTAGCCCCAAGCATGTCTCCAGACCCAAGGTGGCACTCCTGATGGCCAGCTCCACCCCTTACCCCAGGATTGTCTCTCCTCTACGCAGCCCCCAACCCTGCGTCTCAACCTGATTCCTGGCTGGGGACAAAGAGTCAGCAGACACAGAGGAAGCAGCCCAGGAGTGAGGGTTTCCCATAAGGAACTGAATCTACTTGGTGATTCAGGCTGAAACCAGCTGGGCCATGAGCGTCTCAAGGACCAAGGCTGGGGTCCTTCCAGGCACTCAGCACCATACCCAGCACAGATCTGTCCGGGGCCTGGGCTCGCTTGCCTGGGAATTGCCCAGGACTCTCTCTGTCAGCCTTGGCTGCTCCTCCTCTCACCTAGGGGACATAGCCACAGCCTCCCAGGGCTGTGGGAAGGCCTGCCACAGGACCACTTGCTTGGGTTAGCAAGGTGTGGGACAGGAATAATAGCAACCCAAGGCTAAGAGAGGAAGTGGCCCAGGGTCTACCATGGACAGCAAAACCAGCCAGTGGCTCTTGCTTCTTCTCCCAGAGGCTTGCACGGCCCCCAGCCCCGTCCCCATGGCTCAGCTTTCTGCAAGGAGCTCATCAGGCCTCCCCTTAAGCCTCGACTGAGGTCATCTGTCCTGTCCTGGCCTTGCCCTGAGGGGTGAGTCATTGGGGGTGGGTGGGACCCTCTCAGCTCTTTAGCTCTCTCTGGCTCCTCGGGCAAGTGGCTGGCAGTCACTTGGCACTAAGGAATGTTCCAACTTTCTTCCTTGGGTGGGGGCAGGGGGATGTTTTCTCAAGAGTTGAGGACCCCAGACCCTACACTGCTGAGTTCAGCTGGGCTGCTGCTCAGAGCTGCGAGAGTGGATGCAGGAGATCCACTTTTTCTCAGACCTGCTGGGTCACTTTTCTTTCGGCAGCCAGGGCCCTGCTGACTCCAGCAGGCATCTGCTCTGCTTTAACCTTATCGCTGGGAGTAATTCAGCTGTCTGGGAGGCTGGGGGTTGCCCAGGGAGCTGGGGAACAGGAGGAGGATGAAGAGGGAGGTTGGGGGGCCTGAGCAGGCAGAACTGTGGCTGGTGGATGAAAGCCACTGAGGACCGAGTTCAGGTCTATGTCAGCCTCAGTGTATAGGGACACCTGAAAGGTCAGGGGGAGGGACAGGAGGGAAGCCACTGGCGGTCACCCCAGGAGGCTTCCTCAGCGAGCCCCAGCCCCTCTGCCCCACACCCCCGATTGCTCAATCCTACCGTCTGCCTCCCTCCTCCGCCCCCCAGAGCGGGGCATGAGCTCATCTGTACGGCCCAGTGCGGGGAAACTGTGAGTCACGGCTGAGGCTGCGGCCAGGGGTGGTCCTGGGGAGTGGGCCAGGCAAGGACATGGGCCCACGTTTCAGCCAGGGTGGGGCATGGGGCTGGGTGCCAATCCCCCCAAGTGGCTGGTGGCTGGAGGTGGGTGGTGGGCAACTGAACTAGGGGGAATTGGAGGAAAACCAAGTATGGGTGATGGCTTCACTCCCACCTGCCCCCAGCCAAATGCCTGAGTGACAGTGATGAACCTCAGGGGTGGCGGGAGGGCTCCATGGACCTGGAAGGCAAGCATGTGTGCACTGGGGCCCAGGATGGGAGGGCGGAGGGCAGAGCTCACCTGTGAGTCACTTGGGAACCTCGCAGGCTGGACATGGTCTCTTCCAGGTTCTGTCGAAGGTCCAGCACGTTCTGCACTGTCCTCTTTCTCTGGGACTCAGGGTCTGGTAGGGAGAGAGGGAGAATTGGTGAGGCACAGGACTCCTGCTGGGGGGCAGGGGTCCAAAAAGGGGAGATGGGCCAGGAGCCAGGAGGCTGGCCCCCTGTCCTTCTGATCACCTGCCGCTCCACTCTGCAAAGATGGCCAGCACGGCAGGCCCTAGCTGGGTTCTGGACACATGCCCCGAGCCCTCTGAGGTCTTAAGGTTAGCACCTTTGCCTTTGCTACAACTCCAGACAGAGGTCACAGACAAGGTCAGCTGAGGCACAGGCCTCAGCAAGATCCCACTCTGGGGTCCTGGAGGATAGTGACCCGGATATGCAGAATTCGCGATGCCTGTGGGGCGATAGCCTCTATTGTTGAGCTGAGTATGGCGGCTTCTACACACCTGACCCGGGGCATGGATGCAGAACATCCTGGGTGGTGCTACAGGGTCCAAGAAAGGTACTTCAGGTGGGCTTCCTATAGGTGGGGTGGTGGGGACCTAGGAGGGCTGAAAGTCACCCTCTCAAGCATGAACTGAGTTCCAAACAGGCCCTACCCTGTAAAAGTGAGGATGATGCATGGGTGTGGCCCTGCACGCCTGTGTGTCAGGTACCATGTCGGACCCTGAGGACACCATGAAGAAGAGTGCCTGGCTCCGCCCCACGTACACCTTTCCCTTGGAACCCTGGCGCTGCCACCTGGAACCCAATCCTTCTGCAGGGGAGGGTCAGGAACTGGCAGGAAGCCAACAGCAAAGCAGGGAGACGGGCCCGGCGGTGTGGTCTAGTGGCTAAAGTCCTTGCCTTGAACGCCCGGGATCCCATATGGTCGCCAGTTCTAATCCCGGCAGCCCTGCTTCCCATCCAGCTCCTTGTTTGTGGCCTGGGAAAGCAGTCGAGGATGGCCCAGACCTTTGGGACCCTGCACCTGCGAGGGAGACCTGGAAGAGGTTCCTGGTTTCCGGCTTCGGATTGGCGCAGCACCGGCTGTTGAAGTCACTTGGGGAGTGAATCATTGGATGGAAGATCTTCTTCTCTATCTCTCCTCTTCTCTGTATATCTGACTTTATAATAAAAATAAATAAATCTTAAAAAAAAAAGAAAGTTAGAACCATTAAGAGAGCGAGCGAGAGTGTACCACTGATTCACTCTCCAAATGGCCACTACAGCCAAAACTGGGATGGTCTCAACCCGGTTATCAGAAACTTCATCTAGGTATCCTCGTGGGTGCAGGTACCCAAACACCTGGGAAATCTTCTGCTGTCCTTCCCAGACCATCAGCAGGAAGCTGTATTGGAACTAGAGTAACCAGGACATGAACTGGCACCCATATGGGATGTTGGCATACAGGTGGAAGATTAGCCCACTATGCCCCCTTCCCTCCTCCAATTTGGCTCTAACATGCCTGTTTGGAGCCAAGTAATGGGAATCTTGGCCAGGCAGCACCTTCAGGGAGCAGCAGGACCCCCAAAGAGAAAGTGACCAGAGGTACTCAGTGCCTATGTATGCACCATGTTCTCTGCAGACATCAGCTGGCTGAATCCTTGCACTTCTGGAGGGTTTATGTGACCATCCCACTTTACAGATGACAAAACTGAGACACACTGGGATCAAGTCAACTCTCCAAGACCACCCCCGCAGCAGGTAGCACAGCAGAGTTGACCCCAGAAAGAGTCTGATACTGTGCAAAGCTCTTCCCTCACTTCCAGGTAGACACAAGGGTGGGAATATCCCACAGTCGCCTGGACCTGCTGAAGCCAAGAGCCACGAGGGTCCTCAGAAGTGGCCAGGCCCAGGCCTGTCACTGCAGAGACTGGGACCAGGGAGGAGCTGACCAGCTGAAGAGAACAAAGGAAAGTGTCGCCCCCAGTGGTGCCTCCTCAGGATTGGTTCCATCAATGCCTGAGACGCCTGCTGTGCCCCAGCAGTGCCCTCTGGTGGTCATCTTGATTGAGATGTGGCAGCGGTGGCAGAGGTGGGGGATGGTGGCTAGAACACAGTTCTCTCAGGATCCTGGGGCCTGGCACTGCCGTTCCCAGTGAGCCAGGCCCTGAACAACTCATGCACCTTGCTGCAGCTTTCCCTGTTTCCCACTTGGCAGGTGGCCTGGAGCCTTCCAGAGTCGATTCAGGAACATGCTTCTTTGGTATGCAGTAGTTGCTCCATATGCCAAGCCGAGGGAGCCACGGGCAGCCAGGCTGCACAGACTCTAGGTGTACCTTTTTCCCCTCCAAAAAAAAGTGCAGCTCGGAGGGACTTCTCTCTGGCTGGGCGAGGCTCCGACTGCAGGCAAGGTGGTCCCAGAATTCAATGCCATGTCCACATGTCTGACCGTCCCCTGCCTCTTCACTGGGTCCCTCAGAGCCAGTCTCCCCCGTGGACCCTTCTAGGGAGTCCCCAGTGGAGAGAACCAGCCCTACAGACTCTGGTCATCTGGGGCATAGGAGACTCTGGGGGATTCCTCACCCAGCAGCCACATTCCCCCAAGTTCTAGAAAATTTTCATTATCAGCTGACAATTAAGTAAACTGCTGATACCACCTGGCAAAACCTTAATTGCTTCCAAAGCATTTCAGAAGCGACACAGTTTGGCCACAAAGCGCTGGCCTCTCAACAGGCTCTTGCTGTGAATGGCCGGTCCAGGTGGCAGGCAACAGTGGGACAGATGTGAGCCCAGAGGAAGAAGCAGCTTTAAGTCACAGCATTCTAGAGCCAGCACAGTTACAAAGTGGGGAAAGACACTGCCTGTGACATTGTCATCATGTACAGACACTGGTTCCAGTCCTAGTCCTCTTACTTCTGATCCAACTCCATGCTAATGTGCTTAGGAATGCACCAGAAGATGGTGTGAGTGCCTGGGCCCCTACAGCCACATGGGAAATGTGGATGAGGCTCCTAGCTCCTGACTGGGGCTTGGCTCAGCCCTGGCTGCTGTGGACATTCAGGATATAAACCAGTGAAGATGTATCGCTCCTCTCCCCCTTTCTATAATCCTTTAAAAACGATTTATTTATATTTATTGGGAAGTCAGATTTATAGAGAGAAGGAGAGACAGGAAGAAATCTTCCATCCTCTGGTTCAGCACAATGCTGGTTACGTTGCCAAGTGGCCGCAACAACCGGAGTTGAGCCAATCCAAAGCCAGGAGCCAGGAACTTTTTTCGAGTCTCTCATGTGGGTACAAGGTCCCAAGGCTTTGGACCATCCTCTACTGCTTCCTCAAGCCACAACCAGAGAGCTGGAAGGGAAGTGGAGCAGCCAGGATACGAACTAGCACATGTATGGGATCCTGGCACACGCAACACGATGACTGTAGCCACTAGGCTACTGCCCTGGGCCCTATAAAAATCTGACTTGTAAATATGTACTTCCCGCCCTCACCTGATGCCCAGGAGGACTCCAGATCTCCTCTGAGTTCTGAAGTCTGATGTCCTAAACACAGAGATTGAAATCACTTTGACCCAAGCCCATTCCAGCACAAGTGTCTCTCCAACAGATTCCCCAGCCCCAGCCTGCAGGCCACATATTTCCAATCACATTTAGTGCAAGGGCCACACGAGATGCCTGGAGCTGCTTTCAATGTCATGGCCACTGCTTGCTGCCAACTGTTCTGTGCTGATGTCTCAGCATGATAATCTGAGCACGTTTATCTTCCTCCTCGGAAACCCTTCAAACTCCAGCCAGAGATGATGCTGCAGGTGTTCCTGGAGCTGGACACATCTTACTGGTCCCCACCTAGGCAGGACTCAGGGTTTGGGCTGGATCCACAGGTTCCACAACCGGCCCCCTCACACTGCGACTGCTGGGACCTCGCTGGCCGCAAGGATCCTGCACTGGACTCAACACATTTGTCTGCTCTATCCTGCTACCGGCAGCTTGGCAGTGCCCTGGAGTTACATTCTGGGCACCAGGTCACTGTGTCCCCTCTGGGTTACCACCAGCTTCTTTAGGCTTTTGACAGGAGGGCTGCCAGTTCCAGCCTGCCAGTTCCGGGGCTTGCTGAGAGTGGCCACAAGGCGGCGCTGCTGGTCCTCACAGTGGCTTTGCGGCTGTGAGTGTGACCAGACCGGCAGCCACCCAGAAGTCGCGATCCCTGCATTCTGTCAGTGGCACAGCGTCCTCACAGACTCTGCACTCCCCTGGCTGCCATCCTCCCCTGATCCCAGCCTCAAGTCCTGGCTGCTCTTGGGTCTCAGAGAACAGCCGGGCAGTTGCAGCATCTCCCATGGGGGCCTGCAGAAGAAAGGGCGCCGGACGCTAACGGCCTTCCCAGCTGGCCTTTCTGCTCCAGCTTCCACTCTGCTTTGTGGGTCTCACCTCTGCAGTGTTCCAGAGGGAGGCATCACCCCTCACCACATCTAGTCTGCCAGAGCTGGCAGATGAAGGCAGGAAGTGAAGCAGGGACACCTCCCATTGCTGCCCAAGCCTAGCGGGGTCCGGCCAACACCCTGTGGGGGTGCCAGCTTGGCCTGGTGTAGTGTGAGGAAAGCCTGTGAGCTCCAGGGGGAAGCCACACCTCTGCAGCCACTTCCCCAGGATTCGTTAGGTCACCACTGGTCAAGGCTGAGGCTGTAGGCCAGCAGCCCTGTGTGGAAGGAGGCGACGGCTGCCCCTGTCTTCCGTCCTTCACAGAAACCCCGCCCTCATCCGTTTCCCTCTGTGTGCTGGGTTATGGGATGGGGCGGGGGGGGGGGACGGTGCACAAACACATCTGTTCTTTTCATTCAAAGAGAATGAGTCCACGCCCCTTGCTCCCCGACAGGCCCTGATGTTCCTGCCCGTGTGCCCCAAAGCTGATTGGAAATGCCTCCCATTAGTAAGGCTGCCCGGGCCTTCACGTGACATCCTCCTCCTCCGAGGAAGTGGCTGCTGCTGGGAGCTGGGAGGGGTTGCTATAGCAACAGTTGGCACAGTGGAGGGCTCTAGCCCTCTGCAGGCAGGGGGCTAGGGGCGGAAGTGGGGCGGGGCTGGGTTAGGTGCTGGTCCTTGGCAGTGGCCTGGGGGTTCAGAATGATAGGGGTC